GGGTGCCAGAAGATGAGAGACAGCAAGATATTGAAAACCTATTTGAAGAAATAATGACAGAAAACTTCCCCCCACCTGGTGAAAGAAATGGACTTACAGGTCCAAGAAGCACAGAGAACCCAAACAAAAGGAATCCAAAGAGGACCATACCAAGACACATCATAATTAAAATGCCAAGAGCAAAAGACAAAGAGAGAATCTTAAAAGCAGCAAGAGAAAGAAACTCAATTACCTACAAGGGAATACCCCATACGACTGTCAGCTGATTTCTCAACAGAAACTTTGCAGGCCAGAAGGGAGTGGCAAGAAATATTCAAAGTGATGAATACCAAGAACCTACAACCAAGACTACTTTATCCAGCAAAGCTATCATTCAGAATTGAAGGTCAGATAAAGAGCTTCACAGATAAGGAAAAGCTAAAGGAGTTCATCACCACTAAACCAGTATTATACGAAATGCTGAAAGGTATCCTTTAAGAAGAGGAAGAAGAAGAAAAAGGTAAAGATACAAATTATGAACAACAAACATGCATCTATCAACAAGTGAATCTAAGAATCAAGTGAATAAATAATCTGATGTACAGAATGAACTGGTGATTATAATAGAATCAGGGACATAGAAAGGGAATGGACTGACTATTCTTGGGGGGGAAAGGCGAGTGGGAGATGCGGGAAGAGACTGGACAAAAATCGTGCACCTATGGATGAGGACAGTGGGTGGGGAGTGAGGGCGGAGGGTGGGGCGGGAACTGGGAGGAGGGGAGTTATGGGGGGGGAAAAAGAGGAACAAATGTAATAATCTGAACAATAAAGATTTAATTAAAAAAAAAAAAAAGAATGGCATGTTCTGCCCTAGCCGGTTTGGCTCAGTGGATAGAGCATCAGCCTGCGGACTGAAGGGTCCCGGGTTCAATTCTGGGTTGGGGGCTCAATCCCCAGTGTGGGGCGTGCAGGAGGCAGTGGACTAATGATTCTCTCTCATCAATGATGTTTCTATCTCTCTTTTCCTCTCTGAAATAAAAATATATATTTTTTAAAAAGAATGGCATATTCTGATTTAAGCAAAATAGATTAAAATACTAATCAAAGTTAGTGTTCATAAACCTTCACCTGAATCTGCTTTAAAATTCAATTTAACATCTACTCAGCAAGCTGTAATTTCCAAGAAACAGGATAACATGGTTTGTTCTGTACTGGATCATAGGCCTACTGTTGGGATAATTCAATAGCAGCAAGACCACAATTAACACTTACAAATGGGTAATGCTTAAAGTTGTGAGTGAATTTATTACATAACAACTGTTAACTAGCACCAACAGTCACAGCAAAATAGACTGCAAGAAAAACGTACTAATTCCTGTGAACAAAACTAAAGCAATGGTGAGCACTGCCAGTCATTCTGTATAAGGAAATACCTTTTAATATTTTATATCAAGGTGAATAGTGTGTTCATTAAAACAAAGATTTCCCCCTTGCATTTCACCATGCAAAAGAATTATAATAAAGAGATAACAGGAACAGTTAAAATAGCTTCATAATTGTTTATTTTACTATTAAACATCCTGTAAAAAAATTTGTCTCTTTCATGAAATCAAAATAACAAGTGATGAAAGTTTGTCTATTAGCACCTAGAATGAATGAAAAAAATGCTTATTTTTTATAATTTTTATAACTGTAAGTTTGGTTTATAGTAATTCTTTCATTTATTTAATAATTACTAAGTACTCATTTTCTGACAAGTCCTCATGGAAGGTAGTGGGTATACACGAAAGTTGTTTTAGGCAAAGGGATCAGCATATGTGAGGGCTAAAAGTGATAGAAGAAATATCAGCTATGAAACTAACCTAGTTTTCAACATTTAAAATTTATCTATGGGTTTAATTTCATACTCACCACTTGTTTTGCCACATTTTCTCTGGTGCTTAGAAACAGTGGGAATTCACAACAGGGCAAAACTGCTTGTTAATGTTGAGACTCATCACTAATTCATCAGGGTAATGCTCTCAGCCTGGGCTAATCCCAGAAAGAAAATGACAGGTCAAAATGGCTAATTTGATCATAACAGTTCAGTTTTGGTTCATGATGTTGTCCTAGGTGTCGGGATTATAAAGGATTGATCACTCCCTTTAAAATTAACTAGTTGCCCAGCCGGTGTGGCTCAGTGGTTGAATATAGACCTATGAACCAGGAGATCACAGTTGGATTCGATTCCTGGTAGGGGCAGGTTCGATCCCCAGTGGGGGGCATGCAGGAGGCAGCAGATCGATGATTCTCTCTCATCATTGATGCTTCTCTCTCTCTCTCTCTCTCTCTCTCTCTCTCTCTCTCTCTCCCTCTCCTTCCTCTTTCTGAAATCAATAAAAACATATTTAAAAAAAATAAAAAACAGACCAGCTCAGTGTTTGAGCGAAGGGCTCTGAACCAGAAGGTCCAGGTTCATTCCCAGTCGGACCCATACCCGGGTTGTGGGCTTGATATCCAGTGTGGGGCATGCAGGAGGCAGCAGATCAATAATTCTCTCCTATCGTTGATGTTTCTGTCTTTCTCTCCCTCTCCCTTCCTCTCTGAAATCAATAAAAATATTTTTTTTAAAAAGTAACTAGTTGGAAGGGAAGAGAGATCATTAAAATAATTTCCACACAACATGGTAGGAGCAAAGAGAAAGGTATGCAAAAGGTAATAAAAAAAAAAAAAACACAGAGGAAAGGGCACCAACACAAGCAGGGGAAACATTGCAAGAAGTGATTTTACACTGAGACTTGAAAGAGTAGGAGGAGCCCTGACCAGTTTGGCTCAGTGGATAGGGCGTCGGCCTGCGGACTCAAGGGTCCCGGGTTCGATTCCGGTCAAGGGCATGTGCCTCGGTTGCGGGCACATCCCCAGTGGGGGATGTGCAGGGGGCGGCTGATTGATGTTTCTCTTTCATCGATGTTTCTAACTCTCTGTCCCTCTCCCTTCCTCTCTGTAAAAAATCAATAAAATATATTTTTTAAAAAAAAGAAGAAAGAGTAGGAGGAAAGATAGGAAGAGGCTCTAAGGATGTTCTGAAACAGCATGAATAAAGATTTTAAATTTGAAACTAGTAGTCTGGTATTGCCTGAGAGTAAAAGGGTGTATAAAGTTTTGACATGAGGGGGAGCACAGTGGTAGATTAACTAAAGAGGTTAACGGGGTCAGATCATAGAGGATTCTGTATACCATGTTAAGGCGGTTTATCTTCTGAGAGAAAGCAGGACAGCTCAGTGTTAAGTGTTTGGAAGCAGATTGATTTGGGTTCCAATCCCAGTTCCATTATTTAATAACTGTAAATTTTATGAATTACTTACCTTCTTTGAACTTTTTTAAAAATATATTTTATTGATTTTTTACAGAGAGGAAGGGAGAGGAATAGAGAGTTAGAAACATCGATGAGAGAGAAACATCGATCAGCTGCCTCCTGCACACTCCTCACTGGGGATGTGCCCGCAACCAAGGTACATGCCCTTGACCGGAACCGAACCTGGGACCCTTGAGTCCCCAGGCGATGCTCTATCCAGTGAGCCAAACCGGCCAGGGCTCTTCTTTGAATTTCAGTTTCTTCCTCTGCAATATAGGACTAACAAGCTTGTAGCATTTTATTGAGAAGTCAATGACAAGACTTCTTGATACCATTCACTGACAATGAGAACGAATGGTTCGGTGAATGCATGATTGTCACCGTTATCAAGGGTTATTAACCTACCCAGGGTTAACATTTTTGCAAGGGAATGAGAATGGCAAAATAAAGATAATGGGTGGCTTTGCAAAGAACAGGACAGGCAAACGAGTCAAACCATTATATTAACTCAGATAGGAAATAATAGAGGTTTCACCTGGCATTTTACCATAAGAATGGATAAAGACAGATCCAAAAATTACATAGGGATAAAATTTGTCAGTTCTCTCAGTGACAACTGAATGGGGGGGAACAGTGGTTCCCAGTCATCCTAAATAGTAGTCCAACTAAAACAGAAAATCAAAGAGGAGGATCTGGTTTGGGGCAAGATGAATATAAGATGCCAGTGGGAAATCTGGGTCAATACCCACCAGATAAGAGGACATAAAAACCTGCAGTTAGCTGCTTTGAGCCAAAGTCAATCACTTTACACTGAGCAATATAAAACAGCTTATGATTTTTCCCCCTAAAGTTGAAACTGAGATGTTATGATTATCTATTGTTAAGCTATGTCACCCCTAGGAACCTCTCCCTTATGAGTACTAAGGAAAAGATCTGAAATTGACAAATTTCTCTTAATGGAAAGACTGTAAAACTGAGTGAAAATTTAGTTTTTCTGATAAAAAGAAGATCCTTTCAGTAATTATAGATAAGATTGAAAATTATAGACTCACTTAAAAAAACACCAATTGCCCTGGCTGGTTTGGCTCAGTGGATAGAGCATCAGCCTGCGGACCAAAGGGTCCCAGGTTCGATTCCAGTCAAGGGCACATGCCCGGGTTTCGGGCTCGATCCCCAGTAGGGGGCGTGCAGGAGGCAGCCAATCAGTGATTCTCTCTCATCATTGATGTTTCTATCTCTCTTTTCCTCTCTGAAATCAATAAAAAATATATTTTAAAAAAAACAAAAACACCAATCAACAAAATGAAAAGGCAACCTACAAATGGGAAAAAATATTTGCAAATCATATATCTGATAAGGAATTAATATTCAAAATATATAAAGTACTCATACAAATCAATAGCAAAAACAAAACAAAACACCCAACTAATCCAATTTAAAAGCTGGCAAAGGACTGGGTAGACATTTTTCCAAAGAAGATATTCAAATGGCTCAACAGGTACATGAAAAGGTGCTCAACATGACTAATCATAGGGAAATGCAAATCATTAGGTGATATTTCACAATGAGATACCTCACCCTGGTTAAAATGGCTATTGAAAAGACAAGAGATAAATGCTGATGAGGATGTGGTGAAAACAGAAGCCCTGTGCACTATTGGTAGGAATGTACATAAGTACAGTCATTAGGTAAATAGTATAGCGGTTTCTCAAAAAATTAAAAATAAAACTATATGATCCAGCAATCTGACTTCTGGGTATATATCTAAAGAAAACAAAATCACTACCTCAAAGAGATATCTGCTCCCCACATTTATTGCAGCATTATTTACAATAGCCAAGAAAGGAAACAACTTAAGAGTCCATTGAAAGATGAATGGATAAAGAAAATGTGGTATATATACACAATAGAATACTATCCATCCATAAAAAGAAGGAAATCCTGCCATTTGCAGTGGACTTTGAAGGCGTTATACTAAGTGAAATAAGTCAGACAGAAAGACAAATATTGTATGATCTCACTTATATATGGAATCTAAAATTTAAAAAAATAGATCAGATTTGTAGTTACCAGGAGGAACTGGATGAAGGTGGTCAAAAGGTACAAATTTCCAGTTATATACCAGTTATATGGGGATGTAATATACAACATGGTAACTATGTATGGGGTATTTGAAAGTATGGATATATAAATCCTAAAAGTTCTCATCACAAGGAAAAACAATTGGGAGTAAGTATAGGAGGTGATGGATGTTAATTAAACTTACTGTGGAATCATTTTTTAATTTATGCATGTGAAGTCATTATGTCGTACACCTTAACCTTATCCAGTGCTGTACGTCAATTATATCCCAAAAAGAAACAAAAACAAACAAACAAACCCACTGGCAGAAATAAATCTGATTCAATTAGCCATTTTGTTTCATTTTTTAATTCTTCAAAGACCTCCAAATCATATCATGAAGCCTTAACTTAATATTTGGCCAAGCTGGTATGAAATAAACACCAGCCATTAAAAACGTGTTGTGGAACTATTCTTTCGGAAATGATTTAATCAGTAGTATGTTCTTTATTAAGCTTACATGCCTCATCAACAAAATTCAATCTCAGATTTTGGCAAAATTACTTACTTGACTGGCTTGATGAAGCTGTCACAGAAACAATATGTCTTAGTACATTATATAGCACATAAGAAAAATGGACTGTAAGTTAAGAGCTGTATATGTTTAAAAAAAACACACACACAACAACTGACAGTAGCTCTTAAATTCCAACAAACACAACCTGAGCAACTCTTTGAAATAGTAGTGGCCTGTGTTTTAATTTTTCTTCTATTTCTTCTAGTTCTCGTCGGTATTCTCTCATCCTTTCCTTTTCATTCTTTCTAAAATTAAATAAAAGGAGTGGAATTTTAAAAAGAAATAAGAACTTGCATATATAACATTTTAGCTTAGATGGCAAATTAGAAATTAAATTATGAGCACAATTTACAGTTGACCACCATTCCTTTTCTAGACTGGTAAATTTTTATGGAACACAGAATAAAAATTCTAGGTTCTGCCCTAACTGGTTTGGCTCAGTTGATAAGAGTGTCGGTCTGTGGACTGAAGGGTCCCAGGTTCAATTCCGGTCAGGGGCACATACCTTGGTTGCGGGCACATCCCCAGTAGGGGGTGTGCAGGAGGCAGCTGATCGATGTTTCTCTCTCATCGATGTTTCTAGCTCTCTATCCCTCTCCCTTCCTCTCTGTGAAGAAATCAATGAAATATATATTTTTTAAAAATTCTAGGTTCTGAGAGCACACATTTTACATCCTGGGAGCAGTCTTTGTACTCTGAAGGTTCTGAAATCTTCAAGACATAATGTTTTACAGGGCTTCAAATTGGCCTGAAAAGACGAATGAATGAATGTCCTCTTATCTCATATGTAAATGTATAAAACCAAAAAAAATTTGGTCCCAAATAGGTATGTTCTTTTTAAGAAGTTTTTTTCTGAAAATAAGAACTTGTTCTTCTTTAGTCCCTTAAATGAGAACTGCTATAGGTTGGTGGCAAAGTTAATTAAATGGGATGAGGAGAAATGAGGCGTATTTGACTATAATATATAGAAAAATAGGAACCAAATACATAAATTCACAGTAAGTGTACTTAATATTTGGGCAAGATCCAATAATGAATTAAACTATGCTATTTCTCTATGTAAAATATACTAACTCTACCAAGATAATAAGATTTCATGGATTAGAGAAAATAATTATACTATAAAATTATAACTATGTTTAATTATATACAAGTTGGTATTATTAAAAATCCAGTTTACTTTCTAAGGATGAATGAATATTTCTAAGGAATTTTTTTGCTCAAGTTCATCAAATTAAGCTCCTTCTACCAATGAATTGATATAAGGAGCTATATTCCTTATAATGTCTGACACTGACAGACATTATAAGGAATCCTATATAATAAAAGCCTAATTAATATGCTAAGTGTCTGACCGTTAGTTTTACCCTTCAACCAGGTGCTATGACACGCACTGACCACCAGGGGGCAGATGCTCCAACTGGTAGGTTAGCTTGCTGCTGGGGTCCAGCAGATCAGGACTGGTGAGTCAGGTCGAATGCGCCCTGGAGCCCTCCCCAGCCAGGGTGGGGTCCTGGATTGCACTGGGCCTCTAATTAAAAGGAAATATAGATTTGGGGGAATATTATAGGTCAGATTAAAAATTAATAAATCATATTACTTACCCAGCTTTGGGGGAGTTATTTTCCTACTTAAACATGAACATTTTAATGTTTATTTGCAACATAAAAATGTTCCTCTGGAACATTGGTTTTCAAACTTTATTCTGTAGAATTCCAGTGTTCTGTAAAGGGGTTCTGTAAATATTTTTATTTATTTATATTAAAACTGACAAAATGCAACCCATACCACTAAACATTAACACACCTGTTAATCGACACTTTCACATAATTGATGTTACTTAACACCAGTGTTAATCTGTGCTATCAGATTTCATGTAAATCTTAGAACAAAAATCTTTTACATATCTGTTTGTTGAAGAATATTCTGAGATTACATGACAAGTTGTTGAAAAAGCTTTATATCTGTGCCTCAAGATTCTTCTCAATATTACTAGTATATTGTGCAATCAAAAATAATATAAAGAAAAAGAGTTAAAATGCCAATATAAGATATTAACTATAGCCACAATATAAAACATTTCTGTTCAATAACATAGCTTCATGGTCCTCACCATCAGGTGTGTATACACATATATGTTGGTTCTCATCATGAGTTGAATGAGATAATGTGTGTGTGTGTGTGTGTATTAAGTATAAGTAACTGATAATAACTTGAATCCAGAAACTAAAACACTAATATTCTTCTTAATTTGTTCATATATTGGTAACTTGATTTTTAAAAAGTTTGAAAACCAATGGTCTAGAGGTTCAGGATTCTTTCATGATACCTGAGAGATTTTATTCTGGATTTAGATATTTGAGCTAAACTTTGATGTGAGTCATAAGCCTTAGTCCGGGTTGTCAGGAGTTTCTGCAATTCTTTCATTCTTTGTTTCTGCTTAGTTAGGATCCGAGTTCTCTCTTCTTCCAACATTTTCTTTTCCTCAAGTGATCTCCTGAGGGCAACAAACTAAGGCTTAATTCACTTTAAGCCAATGAGAATGTTGCTTAGCAAAGATTTAATACAGGATAATTCAAAGGCTGAAAAAAGGCAACCTTTTGAGAAGGATCTGACTTGTGAACTTGGAAATCAATAGGCCAACTCTAACCTTGTCTATTCCCAAGGAGTCATAAAATGGAAATTACATTTCTTAGCACACACTTTTGCAAAATGTTCTATATTATAAAGTAAAATATATTACCAGATATAATAATTGCTTCATACTTTCAAATTCGCCAACATAAAATTAATAATGTCATGTACACTATTTTAGCAATCATAGGTCAGTCAATGCAGTAGCCTAGTTATTTACCTGGTGGCTTGTTCTCTTCCTCTGGAAGATACTGTGGGCATTGGAGGGCTGCAGTTATAAGGCACACGCTTTGCATTTGGACTTCTTCCTGGTGACTTGTGCCTTAGAGACTGATAAGCCCAATGTGTTTCTTTCAAATTTTCTTCCTCTGCTTTATTATCTGCCAAATTTTTCTCTCTTTTAGTGGATGCATGTGAGGCTGCATGAAGATCAGATGGTTTGTAAACTAAAAGGATTTTTGGACTTTTCTGTTCTGGGAGGTGCTTCTGATATCTCTCAGGAGGTTCTCCAAAATCAGCAATCGGGCTCCTAGACTTGCATTTACACTTCAACTGTTCAGCCTGTTTGGGATTCTTGGGCTTCCTTGCAGCAAAACTTCTGTGAGGTGGACTATAAGGCGAAGGGGATGAATTCAGTAAAAGTTCTTGGGCTCTCAGCTGTGTCTTAATATTTCTAAAGAGCTCTTCTTCTTTTAACCTGTTATTGGTAGTTGAACCATAAGTAGATCGAGGTATAGGTCTGGCTTTAAATCGATTTGTTTTCTTTTTAGACTTAATAAAGTCTCTCAGCTGCTTTTCCCGGATTGCTCGCTTTTGTTCCTCCCGTGCAATAAACTTAAATGGCTTTTGTGAGGCCAAAAGTGCTTCTTTGTTTTTCTCCTTCATAATCCTCCTTCGTTCTTCATTTTGCTTGACTATGTCATGATAAAGGGGGAAAAAGACAAATTCTGGAACTGGGTTGGCTCGGAATTTTTTCTTACACTCTGAATCTTCTTGTTTTTTGAGCAGTTTGTGTGCCATTTCAATATCTGATTTATATTTCATGTTCTCTTCTTTTTTCTTCTGTTCTCTAATCATCATTTGAAAAGGCTCAGGTACTGTAATCTTTGGCACCCATTCTTTTGATTTCTTCCCTGTTTTTTTAATTGCTGGGAAGTCAGCACCTTCACACTGAATGTAATCTTTAACAGAAAAGTTGGTCCACATGTTGTTGATGAGCTCCTTAGCATAGGTCATCATTCTGCTTTTCTCAGGATAGTCTTTTTCTAAGTTGGGCAGCTCATCTTCAGAGGAAGACACAATCAAGGAGGAAGAATGACCTAAATCAGGTTCTGAAAGTGATGTGATTAACGAGATAGGGTGATAGTTCTTTTCTGATACACACCTAAGTGAGAAGAATAATTAGGTTAGGTTACACTTTCAGTTGTATGTGACCAAATATAAGAATTAAGAATTAGATATTTTCTTATATCAAGGTATAATCAATTAACCCAAATGGTGTGGTTCAGTGGTTGAGCATCAGACCTATGAACCAGGAGGTCATGGTTCGATTCCCAGGTTGTGGGCTTGATCCCCAACAGGGGGCATGCAGGCGGCAGCCAATCCATGATTCTTTCTCATCATTGTTTCTATCTCTCTCTTCTCCCTCCCTCTCTGAAATCAATAAAATATATACATATATTTTTTTAAAAAAGGTATAATCAGATTTAAGATAGGAGCTGGATACGGCTTGTAAAAATTATCACTTTTATTTAGAATAGAGCTGGAAAATGCCTATAAATTATCTAATCTGACGCCTTTATTTTATAAGGGAGGAATATGAGACAGTTGAGGCTTCTTGTGTCTAACCTCTGAATTGAATTCTCCACGTTTTCCATAGACACCGTTTTAAAATATACATCTGATCATGTCACTCTCCTTCTTGAAACTTTCCCATGATTTGTCATTGTTATGAAGTCAAATACAGATTACAGAGTCCTTTAATATTAGCCCCTGCCTAGCTTTCCAGTTTCACCTCTCACTTTTCCCTACCCCCATCACCATTCTACATCACATCCAATCCCATGAAGTTCCTCACACACACCATTCCTCATGCCGCCATGCCTTTGCACACATTGTTTCGGCTGCCTAGAAGGCCACTCCTTGCTTCCTACATTTGCTGCAGCTACACACACCCCTTAAGACTGAACCCAGATATGACTTCAGTAGAAAATTCCTTCCTGTGTCCCTCCACTGACACTCTGACATGATCAACTGCTTTTTCTTGTCTCTATAATGTTGTATTGCAATTTTTCATTCTCAGCTAATCTTCGAGATCCTTGAGGGCATCTCAATTTTGACTTCCTAGTGTCCACGCAAGGTCTGACACCCAGGAGATATGCAATCAGTGCTGACCCACTGGATGAGTTAAGGGACTTGCCTCAAGTTTCAAAATAAGCCAGTTTATCACAGAAATAGGTCTTGAAATTAAAGACTATTTTGAAAACTTAATCAGATTTATGTTTTAGTTCTAAACAATTTATACTATATCTTTAATAAGCTCATGTTAATCCACATATTATAAAGGTCTTTTAAATTTTTAATATTCATCATTTAAAAATATTCTAATACATGTCTACACAGTTGTATGAATGATAGGTCAGAAAGAAAAGACCAAATGGCCACCTAATGACCCTCGAAGCAAGAAGCCACCTGGTAGGTTGATAAGCCATTAAACATTTTGAATAAAATTCCACCTCCATATATAATTACAAGTACAAAGGGATATTTGAGAGGAAATATTCTGAAATAATTTTGTTCTGTACTTTATTCTTTTAAGATTTTAAAATTGATTTTTAGAGAGAGGAAAATATTAATGTGAGAGTACATCATCAATCAGCTGCCTCTTACACGCCCCCGTCAGGGGATTGAGCCCGAAACCTGGGCATGTACCCTGACTGGGAATCAAACCAGCAATTCTTCAGTACGTGGGACGATGCCCAACCAACTGAGCCACACCAGCCAGGGCTTGTTCTGCACTTTTAAGTATACATTTTATTTTACAGTCCACAAATAAGATTATGTACAAACTTACATGGAAGAGACACTAGAAGCTTCATCCCTGATGATCACTGGCTGCACTTTCTTTAAATTTAATTTATTCTGGTACATTTTCTCTAACTTTGCCATAGTTTCCATGTGGGCAGTCTTCAGCTCTTCTAGTTTCCTGAAATATTCTTCATTAGAGTGGAAAATATCAGAAAAGTCCACAGGGTCCTCATAGTTCATATATGTTAGGTTATTCACCCCGGAAATGATGTTAAAGTCAGTCTGATGGGAGGGAAAAGCCTGTTATATGGTATTTGGAATTAAAAGACAAATAAATTTGACACTAATTCCCAATGCTGCTTCTTACTTGTGAGCTATGTACATTTCCCTCTCACATTTTATTGAGAACAAGAGAGAGAAATCAAGTTGCCAGAAAATAAATACTATTTGATCCTTTTTATAAAGGATGGTTAGATTCCCGGATCATGTACTAACCCAATACACTATAATAGGATAGAACCAAACTATCCTTAATAAAGACCCTCCTTTGGAGTTGTAAGTGATAACTGAAATGAAGAAGAACCAGTTCCTCTTACTGCAAACCAAGCAACTACAGCCCAACACCCAGAGCTTGGCTCCTACAGTATGGGCCACAAGGGTGCACCAGTGGAGAAGAGAGGGGAATGGGCAAAGGAGGGCAGGAGAGTGGAGGGAACAAAGTTCTCATTGGCTCATCAAGAACCCAGGAAGAAGCCCTCCTGGATGTGCAGGGGAGACCTCATAGGAAGTAGGAGGGTTAGAAGGGGGTGGGAGGTAATTTCAGAACAGCCGCTCCTGGGGGCAACAAAGAGCAATTGTAACAAAGTCCTGAGTGTCAGGGACTTTGGGAGTGAAAAGAGAACAAGAATAGTACAGTATAGCATTGTAACTACACAGAGTATAGTTATTCTATATATAGGTCATGCCTGGAAGAGTCTGCTCGATCTTTCCCCTAACTCTTTTTTTTAAATTATTTTTATTGATTTCAGAGAGGAAGGGAGAGGGAGAGAGATAGAAACATCAATGATGAGAATCACTGATCGGCTGCCTCCTGCACGCCCCTACTGGGGATCGAGCCCACAACCCAGGCATGTACCCTTGACTAGAATCGAACCCGGGACCCTTCAGTCTGCAGGCCAACGCTCTATCCACTGAGCCAAACCAGCTAGGGCTCCCCTAACTCTTTTCATATACATCTTATAGTTCTTTTAATTGAAGCAACTATAGAGGTAAAACTCCACTTTCTCCATAAATATAGAAATTTAATATTTTCTCAGTTGAGAAATAGTTAATTATGATACAGTGCATAAAAGGCTGCTGAATATGGTCTTAAATTTAGCCTATTGCCTGAAATATACTCAGAATGAAAAAAGAGTATTTGCCGAAACCGGTTTGGCTCAGTGGATAGAGCGTCGGCCTGCGGACTGAGAGGTCCCGGGTTCGATTCCGGTAAAGGGCATGTACCTGGGTTGCGGGCACATCCCCAGTGGGGAATGTGCAAGAGGCAGCTGATCGATGTTTCTCTCTCATCGATGTTTCTAACTCTCTCTATCTCTCTCCCTTCCTCTCTGTGAAAAATCAATAAAATATATTAAAAAAAGAAAAAAAAAGAAAAAAGAGTATTTGCCTTAGAAAATTATAAACCCAATCTGATAAGACACTAGGAAATAAATCTGAGTAGCTTCTCCCAATGGGAAAATACAGAAGAGTCACTTGTATGTAAAAGTTATAAATACGAGTTTTTAAACAGTATACAGGAGACCAGTATTGTACTACTTGGGCTAACAGAGAAAATGAATGAAGGAAAACTAATGTTTTTCAGTAGAGCTGGTGTGCAGAAATTTACCAAAAAATCTATGACTCAAAGAATTGCTTTTTTTTTTTTTAATATATTTTATTGATTTTTACAGAGAGGAAGGGAGAGAGATAGAGAGAGTTAGAAACATCGATGGGAGAGAAACATCGATCAGCCGCCTCCTGCACATCTCCCACCGGGGATGTGCCCGCAACCCAGGTACATGCCCTTGACAGGAACCGAACCCGGGACCCTTCAGTCCGCAGGCCGACGCTCTATCCACTGAGCCAAACCGGTTTCGGCAAAGAATTGCTTTATTGTCATACAACTCAAGAGAATTTTCTGATACCTTCTCCTGTTTCTATATGTGCTCCTCATCATTACCTTCTTAGCTGTGGAAATGAGTAGTACTTTGTTAACTTCCTCATTCATTAAATTCTTAAGGACACCCAGCATTCTCTAGCTGCTTAAAGATACAGATCAAATAAACACTCCACCTTCTAGAACAGTGGTTCTCAACCTTCCTAATGCCGCGACCCTTTAATATAGTTCCTCATGTTGTGATGACCCCCAATTTCATTGTTATAAATTGAACATAATTAAAGCATAGTGATTAATCACAAAAACAATATGTAATTATATGTGTGTTTTCCGATGGTCTTAGGTGACCCCTGTGAAAGGGTCGTTCGACCCCCAAAAGGGTCTCGACCCACAGGTTGAGAACCGCTGTTCTAGAAGCTTCAGTGAGTTTAGGTGAGGATGTGTACATAAATAATGGGCAGCAGACATTGAAGGAGACAGAACTCCAGATTCCTGCCTGTGAGCTGCTCCCATGTATGTCACAATATCAGTTACCATAAGAGCTCAGAGAAAGAATGCCTAATTCTGACCACGGGGAAAAGAAGAGACAGAATTTACAAGGGTGCACCAGATAGAGACAATGTTAGATAAGGACAAAGCTTGTCAGATTAGGGAAGCAGTGAAAAACAAAGAAGTCTGAGGCACAGTGCCAGACATTAATCATATGTTACTGCATGATGATGCAACTGGCAGGTACTCTGTTCTTGATCAGGAAACTGAGGCTCAGAGGATTTAGGTGACCTGCCTGCAGTCACACACCAGTAAGTAGTAGAGGTGGGATTTAATCCAAATCCCAAGTGTTAGGCTCCAAAGACATACCGTAGGAAGGGGTTTTTAGCCACATGAGGAAGGAACAGGCATGGTATGCTCAGAGAGAGGTAAACAGTCTGGGGCTAGTGAGAACGGGATGGAGCACGAGGGAGGGTGGGAAACAAGGTGAAAAAGGCACGTCAGGAGCTTCAACCAGGCAACAGGAGCCTTGAAGGATGTGAGCAGAGGAGTGCCATGATCAGTCGTGCTCGGAAGGATTCTTCTGGTAGCAAATAGAGTGAAAACGAAGGAAGAAAGATTAGCAGCAGTTAATGAGCTAATGCCAAGGTCCAAGTTAGAGATATTAAGGGCAGAATTAAGGAAGCAGCACCAAGGCGGCTGCCTTGGTAGATTTAGGAGGCTGAATCATCAACTCAGTAATGGCCTGTATTGTGGGCAACAAATCGAAGACTTCTGTTTGGAGTGCTGCCTGTCTAGGTAGATGCTGCTGCTGCTGCTGCTGCCATTCATCAATATAGGGAACACTGAGGAGGAGAGTGTTTTAGGAAAAGAAAACGAATCTCTCTTAGACACACTGAGTTTAAGGGATAGTAGGGCAGGTGAATGTCCAGGAAACACGTGGGTAAATTTATCTGGAGACCTGGTAAGGAGGCTGGGCTGGAGATGAAGATATGGGAGCCACCAATATCACAGAAGTGGCAGGTGCAGCCTTGCATATGAATGAGGCAGCCTGAAGAGAGTGTGGGCAATACGACAAAAACCCGAGGATGGAAATGTTGGCCAACACCAATGTTTAAATAAGCAGTGAGCCCTAACCGGTTTGGCTCAGTGGATAGAGCATCGGCCTGCGGACTCAAGGGTCCCAGGTTTGATTCCGGTCAAGGGCATGTACCTGGGTTGCGGACACATCCCCAGTAGGGAGTGTGCAGGAGGCAGCTGATCGATGTTTCTCTCTCATCGATGTTTCTAACTCTTTATCCCTCTCCCTTCCTCTCTGTAAAAAAATCAATAAAATATATTTAAAAAAATAAATAAGCAGTGAGAGGAGAACTAATATGAAGTAGAAAGTGGTCATTAGAAATACAAATACCGTAACCGGTTTGGCTCAGTGGATAGAGCATCGGCCTGCGGACTGAAGGGTCCTGGGTTCAATTCCGGTCAAGGGCATGTACCTTGATTGCGGGCACATCCCCAGTGGGGGGTGTGCAGGAGGCAGCTGATCGATGTTTCTCTTTCATCGATGTTTCTAACTCTCTATCCCTCTCCCTTCCTCTCTGTAAAAAATCAATAAAATATATTTTTTTAAAAAAAGAAATACAGCCGAAACCGGTTTGGCTCAGTGGATAGAGCGTCGGCCTGTGGACTGAAGGGTCCCAGGTTCGATTCCGGTCAAGGGCATGTACCCAGTGGGGGATGTGCAGGAGGCAGCTGATCGATGTTTCTCTCTCACCGATGTTTCTAACTCTCTCTCTCCCTTCCTCTCTGTAAAAAATCAATAAAATATATTAAAGAAAAAAAAGAAATACAAATACCAAGTGATAAGGGTATTCAAATGAAGAGAGCTTTTGTTTGGTTTGAGTTTGTAAAGTAACTCCAGAAGGCTTCCTGGAGGAAGTGATATTTAAGCTGAGTCAAAGAATAGAAGAATCTGGAGGATCAGATAGAATATAGGGGGAAAGAGGGAAAAGGTACTGCAGACAAAGAAAAGGACATTAACAAAAGCCATGGGGGTGAGGGGCATGGTGGAGAGTAAGGTGCACACAGCTGCAGGATCAGAGGAGAGTAAAATGTATAAAGCGATTTTGGGAAGCAAGCCTAGAAAGGAAGGTTAGGGCAAGCCGGAGGTGGTTTTCATTTCTTGTCTACTACTTGGCTAGAAGTTAGTACCTTTTCAATTTGGAGAATTTTTATGGCTTTGGAGAAAGATTAGGGATATAGTGTCAAATTCTTGTGTTCAAGCCTAGGTTCTGCACTTCTTAGCCATGTGACATGGGCACTAATCTTTTGAACATCAACCTTACAATACTTGAAGTATGCCCAGTGTTAAACTATTGCCTGTCAGCTCCAATGCCACCCTTCTACACCCTGCTGGGTGATGCTGAGGACAGGAGTCTGTAAACCATGTTTCCGCTTTGCCAGCTGCTCCCAGGTAGACTCTTCCTAAAGTGGGGCTAGGGGGAGACAACAGGGCTAGAGGAGGAAGAAGACCTATTCCTTCCTGTTAGTTCTGTCCACTTGTCTACTTGAGTGACGCCTGGAGTGGTTCTTCCCCTGAGCAGCAGCATTGGCTGATTTCATTCTGCAGTTTTTCCAATGCTCACAGAATCAGCAAAATCACCTCGTGGCCTTTATTCAAATGTCATCACCTCACCAAGGCTACCCTATTTGAAATTATAACCTCTCCACCCACTCATTGTCAGCCTCCCTGTTTTATTTTTTCTCATAAATACTCACCACCAACAGTCATTCTACATATCTTTATTTGCGTAATGTATGCCTAATTCTTCCACAAAGTCATCATCACAAAGACAAGGATTTGTCTGCTTTGTTCATGGTGGTGTTCCCAGTGCCTAGAAAAGCACCTGACTAATGGCAGAGGCTCAATAAACATTCATTGGAAGAATGAATATACAGCTAAAAAAATATTATTTCCATTAAGAGGAGAGGTATTCCCTCACAAAGAACTGGATCAGCCCTAGCTGGTTTTGGCTCAGTGGATAGAGAGTCGGCCTGCAGACTCAAGGGTCTGAGTTCAATGCTGGTCAATGGCACATGCCTGGGTTGCAGGCTCAATCCCCAGTAGTGGGCGTGCAGGAGGCAACCAAACAATGGTTCTCAATCATTATTAATGTTTCCATCTATCTCTCACTCTCGCTACCTCTCTGGAAAAAAAAAGGAACGGAATCATCCTAAGAAATACTGGCTGCTCTAAAGAGTTATATTCTACTAAGTATTAAGAAAAGGGCTTATTTCTTAAAAAACTAACTACAAGAGGGAAGATATTCCAAAGAACTGTTTTTAGAAAAAAGCATACAGGTACTCTCCATTCGTTCTTTTAGAACACCCTTTAAAAGAAGGCCTTCGTAATAGTCATTTTCCATTAAAGGGTAAAGTTTATTTGGTCCTGGAAAAACTGCAAAGATACTGAAGGATGAGTAGCTTCTGAAGAGTGGTGGCAGGTCTGATATTTATACACTGACTTTTAACAGTATCTGTCCCATTTCTGTTTAATACTCTTAATACTTAACTTTTCAGATAAATTACTCCCATGGTGTTTTACCTAAAACAGATGAATGATTAATAAGCAAATTCTAACTTTAATTTAATCTTTGTCTTCACACAGAAGAAAACATTTTAGTAGGTCAAATAACCTAGACCCGTGGTCGGCAAACCACGGCTCGAGAGCCACTTGCGGCTCTTTGGCCCCTTCAGTGTGGATCTTCCACAAAATACCACGTGTGGGCGCCCACGTACAGTGCGATTGAAACTTCGTGGCCCATGTGCAGAAGTTGGTATTTTGTGGAAGAGCCAGTATTTTGTGGAAGAGCTGCACTGAAGGGGCCAAAGAGCCACATGTGGCTCACGAGCCGCGGTTTGCCGAGCCGCAGTTTGCCGACCACTGACCTAGACCAAGGACATTATTTTCCAAGAGCCTAAAATAGCACCCTTTCCCTTTAATTGTTCGGCTTTTTGTGAATGTTCTGCATGCAGCCACTAGATTAGAGGATAATCTTCCCTAGATTGGCTTGACCCATTTAGATGATGCTCCTTCCAGCACATGCGCTTCATTAGTGATCAGCACTCATAATTATTTGTGATATAGTCTGTCTAGTATCATCTGCAATTCTGGAATTTTTACTAAATTTTTTTTTTTTCATTGAAAGGATTTGTAAGGAATGAGGCAGATCTACATATAGTAACCTGGGTAAACCCAGCAATAAATGATAAGAGTAAAAAGCAAGTTTCAGAACAATGTGTATACATAAAATGCTACCAAATGCTTCAAGGATGTACACAGGAGACAGGAAAAAGCCCAGAAGAATACATATATATCAGTTTCAAAACAGTGGCTACCAATGGGTAGGGAGGAGGGACTCAGACTTTCTTTGGGAGGAGAGAGTAAAAGGGCCCAAGCCTTATTTGTAACATTTGAAATTTTAAAAGGAGAATGTGCTCATGTATTACTTATCTAATAAAAGTATAACTTAAAGAAGAATGCTTTGTGAGTACTAATACTAAATTAAAAACTGAGCAGTCTCTATTGACTACTTGATCTGTCTGGCACCTGCCTCTCACACTCCCCTAGCAATACTGTTTACCTTTCCCTTCCTCTTCTACCTGCTCCCACCCCCACTCCCCAACTCGTTTATTTCTTTAAGAAACCAGAAACTATCAGAGGAAAGTTCCCTCATCTTCCCATCTATAAAACTGCCTGCTTTTGTGCCACTTTTCTCTTTTCCTCCTGCTTCAGGATGAAATGTCCCTTCTCTTTAGCAATATCTGACACTTTCCCTCATCATTAAAACCAATAAACGGGACTTCCACACTCTTGTGGTGGTGATCCTACCACTGTAGCTGGTCCTTAATCCCTTTAGTCTCCTTTTTATCTATCTAACTGTTAAATGAGGTTTTTAAAGTGTTCTAGCCCGGTTGGTGTGGATCAGTGGTTGAGTGTCAACCTGTGAACCAGGAGGTCATGGTTCGATTCCTGGTCAGGGCACACGCCCGGGTTGTGGGCTCGGTCCCTGGTGGGGGGGCATGCAGGAGGCAGCTGATCAGTGATTCTCTTTCATCATTGATGTTTCTGTATCTCTCTCCCTTTCTCTCTGAAATTAAAAAAAAAAAGTTCTATACAAGACCCCTTCTTTTTCTGCACTCTCCCTAAGTGACTTTATCCATTCCCATTGTTTCAAAAATGCTGAAAACTCCCAGATAGGTATCTCCAGCTCAGACTCTACAGAACTACACTTTCATAGGCTCAGCTGCTTCCTACATATTTCCACTTGGTAGTTTCACAGATCTCTCAAAGTTACCATGTTCAACACTAAAACCTTGGAGGAGGGCAAAGAGGAAGAAATGGGGGAGGAGGATCTGTAATAAGATCAACAATAAAAAAACACACACACAAAAAAACAACAACACTGAAAACCACCCAGCCTCTACATCCATTCCTCCCCAAGTTGTCCCCAGTTCAATAAATGGCACTGCCTTTCATGCAACTTCTCAAACCAGAAACCTGAGAGTAAGCATTCTTTATTTCTTCCTCTTCCTTGGCCTTCACTTTCATTCTTTAACAGTAATTCTGATCCATTCTGGAGAAATCTGTCCACTTCTTGCCATCTCCCCCGGACTCTAGGTCCAGCCATCACCTATGGCTTCTGCAATTACTGCACAGCCTCCTAACTAGTTCCTTACTTCTGCTTTGTCAGAAGTTCTCCACAGAGTCATCAGAGTCATTTTTAAAAAATGTGAATAGGAACATGTCAGATCTTTTAAAAGTCTTCAAGGACCTCCCAATGCACCTACAATAAACAACTCCTTACCTAGGTCTACAAGGCCCTGAATGTTTAGGCCCTGCTTACCTCTCCAAGTTCATCTCCCCTCACTCATTCTTCCCCTCTTTTCCACTCTTGCTGGCTTTCTTTCAGATCCTTAATCACCCAAAGCTCTTCATTTTCCTATCTTAGGACCTCTGCATATGCTTGTTCCCTCTGCCTGGAATGTTTTCCCACACCCACTCTTCAAATAACGGTTACTCTTTTTCATCTATCAGGCATCAGCTTAAATTTTAACTAATTTAATTATGGCTTAGTGGTGCTATGACCATGAAAGGTGTTGCTACAGATTTTCTCATTAACAGTTTTAGTGTAGATTAAAGAGATTACAATTCCAAAATATTCAGTGATTCTATTAGCCCTAGACCACATGCTTTTTCTTTTTGTATCTGAGAGGCTTGAAAAAATGGTGTTAAGAATCTTTAACGGGGGTAAGGAGGTTTATATCTGCGGAGTCAAGGTTTCTAACTTTTAAAGGAATAGAGCAGATGGCAGACTCGGCCCTCTAACTGGTGGACAGGTGTTCACGACACATGTAACACTGAAAAGTGCCCTTTAGGAAATAATGGGTCCTCAGTAATTTGCTTCTCTGGATGCTTAACTCTATCTGTCTGATCTAGCCACTGAACTCAATGGTTTTAAACATCGCTTCTCATGTATCGTGTTAAGATGCACTAATAACCAAGACCTTAAAATGACAATAAAACACACCTCTGATAGCACAGTTGATTCACCTGAATCTTAGGGGTTATCATCTGTGGGGTAGGTAAATCAGACCTCCCCAAGTTAAAAAGAAAAGGGAATATCTACTTCTGACAAATACTGGAGCATAAAGAGTAAGGTTCTGCACTCTCTAGACCAGCAGTTCTCAACCTGTGGGTCGCGACCATCGGAAAACACATATAGCATATCAGATATTTACATTACGATTCATAACAGTAGCAAAATTACAGTTATGAAGTAGCAACGAAAATATTTTATGGTTGGGGGTCACCACAACATGAGGAACTGTATTAGAGTCGCGGCATTAGGAAGGTTGAGAACCACTGCTCTAGGCTAAAGTAAAATGCTCTCCAAGAAATTCTTACAACAATCGTTTTGGTGAAAATTACGACTTTTTAAGGCCTCGGTTTTATTGATTTCTATGGGAACATAGAGAAGATGGTGGGTCAATATTACCGACGACCTGGACAGGGAGCAGCGTTTGTCAGCATGTCGCTCAGCCCAGCGGAGACGCGGACCAGCCATCAGCCCGCACCCAGCCAGAGCCCAGCCCTAGCCCACGTCCCGCCCCCACATTACCATCGCCCGCGACCGCTGCACTGCCTTCTCATCTTCCTGTTCCTCCTCCTCCTCTTCCTCCAAGGCCGCCACCACGGCCGCCAGATCCTCTAAGCCTATAAGCCTAGAGTCTGGGTCCTCGTCCTGGGCGGCCCGCGTTGGGGTGTTGGGATTTACCGGGGCTTGGACACTGGAGGCCGCCAGCTCCGCGCGCGGCGAGGCGGCCATCACCGCACCGCGGGAGGCCTGAGCGGCCCCGGGGCCCGGGTGGTGAAGCAGGAGGGGCTCCCTGCTTGGGGCGGGCGGTTACTAGGGGCACGGTAACTAGGGACGCTACAGGGGCCGTAAGGGGCCAAAAGTCATTCAAATCCTTGACCGCTTCGGGATACCCAAGGTGGGCGTTTCTTGTATTCTGGCAGTCAGTACTATGTCTCTCTAATAGGGGAGGGGGGGGGGGGGGGGGGCGCAAGGCATCTCTTCCCCAGCTTCATGCCTCACCATCTAATCTCAGAGATCTTATATTATACTAATGAAACTACTCTTTTTGTGAAAAGAAAAAATAGAGGGATTTATTACTTTTTAAATATATATTTTTATTGATTTCAGAGAAGAAGGAGGAGGGCAAGAGAGAAACATCAGTGATGAGAATGCATGCCCCACCCTGGGGATTGAGCTGGCAGCCTGGGGTATAGGCCCTGACCGGGAATCCCACCATGACCTCCTAGTTCATAGATCAAGGCTCCATCGCTGAGCCATGCCGGCAGGGCTCTGTGCTTTATTTTAAACTAGAGGCCCGGTGCATGAAATTCGTGCACAGGGGTGGGTGGGATGGGGGGGATGGTGTCCCTCAGCCCAGCCTGCACCCTCTCCAATCTGGGACCCCTTGGGAAACCAGCAGTTGGACATCCCTCTCATAATCCGGAACCGCTGGCTCCTAACCACTCGCCTGCCTGCCTGCCTGATTGCCCCAACCACTTCTGCCTGCCAGCCTGATCGCCCCTTAACTGCTCCCCTGCCGGCCCAATCACCCCCAACTGCCCTCCCCTGCCGGCCCCATCGGCCTCCTCAGCGTGAGGCTGCGGAGACACCGGGACTGGCCTCCTACGCGCCATGCAGAGCTGCAGGACCCCCAGGCCTCACTGTATGGGGCAGCCACAGGGCCCCGCCTCCACTGTGCGTACAGCCATCTTGTGATGACGGTGCACGTGATGACCACCTAGGCTTTTATTAGTATAGATAGTTTCTGAGGTCATGTCTTCAAATTTGGTGTTCTTTTCTTGGACAATGATAATCTGATATTAATCCTATTCAGAGTACTTTTGTAAAAAGATGTTTCATTTCTACACATTTGAGTCTCTTTTATCGCCCATTTCTGTTATCATGTTCAAATTTTCTTTTACATCCTTGAACATATATGGATGATTTATAAAAGCTGCATTTAAGTCTCTGTCTGATAATGCCATCATTTGTCATTTGGGGGTGTGTTTCTCCTGGTTGATTTTTCTCCATTATGGGTCATAGTTTCCTACTTCTTTACATGATCAATTTGTTCTTATTAGTGGTAAAATATAAGTAACATTTACCATTTTAACCGTTTTTAAATATACAGTTCAGTGGTATTAAATACATTCTCGTGGTTGTGCACCACTATCCATCTCCAGAATTTTGCGTTTTATAAAACTGAAACTCCATACTCATTAAACAATAATTTCCCACTTTCCCCTCCTCCCAGTCCTTGCAACCACTGTTCAACTTTCTGTCATTATGACTTTGACTACTCTAAGTATCTAAGTGGAATCATACAATATTTGTCTTTTATGTAACTGAATTGTTTTGCTCAGCATAGTGTTCTCAATGTTCATCCATGTTGTAGCACATCAGAAATTCCTTCCTTTTTAGGGTTGAATAATATTCAATTATATTTATCACATTTTGCTTATCCATTCAGCCATCAGTGAACACTTTGGTTGCTTCCATATTTTAGCTATTGTGACTAATACCACCATGAATATGGGTGTACAGTATCTCTGAGACCGTTTTCAATTCTTTTGGCTATATATCCAGAAGTGGAATTATTGGGTCATTTGGTAATTCTATTTTTAATTTTTTAAGGAACTGCCATACTGTTTTCAATAGCAGCTGTACCATTTTACATTCCTGACAGTACACAGGATTCCAATTTCTTTACATTCTGGCCAACACTGTTTTATAGTAGCCATCCTCATGGGTGTGAGGTGCTCTCATATTTCCCTAATGTTTAGTGGTGTCAAGCATTTCTTCATGTGCTTATTAGCCATTTGTATATCTTTGGAGAAATGTCTATTCAAACGTTATGCCCATTTTTTAATTGGTGCCAGAGACCACCACATAGCAGCATTAGCATGAAAGTACAAGAGACATTGGAAGGCCGATGGACCTCGAACTCAGCAGGGCTGATATCAGATTGCTTCTGCTGTGATTGCAATTTCCTGACCTGATAATCTCTACATTGTTTACTAAACTTTACTGAGCTTTGATTCTATCTGCTCTGCCTGCATGCATTGCTAAAGGGCAGATGTGTAAACAAAATGCATAAAAGCAGGCAAGACCAGGACTCGTGGGTTCCTCTTCTTGCAAAAGGCTCCACCTGGCCTCCCATGCCTTAAAAATTTATATTTCTTGTTTAGTATCTTCATTGTGCATTGGCCCTCCTACAGGTCATCCTGAAACCCACCGTGCAGGTCGCAGCAAATTGGGTAGGGTTTTCTTGTTTTCGTTTTTAAGTTTTGGGAGTTCTTTATATATTCTGGATTTTAATCCCTTATCAGATAAGTGATTTGAAAATATTTTCTCCCTTTCTGTGGTACTGTCTTTTGATGCACAAAATTTTCATGAATTTGTTTTTCCCTTTTGTTACCTGTCCCTTTAGTGACATATCCAAGAAATCACTGCTAAATCCAATGTCATGAAGCTTTCATTGTTTTCTCCTAAGAGTTTTGTTTTAGGTCTTTGATCCACTTTAAGTTAATTTTGTCATACAGTGTTAAGCTAAGGATCCACCCTTCTTTTGCATGTGGATATCCAGTTTTTCCAGCATCATTTGTTGAAGACTGACCTTTCCCTATTGAATGGTCTTGGTTCAGCTGCCAAAAATTAATTGAACAGGTCTGGCTTGTGTGACTCAATGGTTAGACTGTCGGCCCAGGGAACTGAAGGATTTCGGGATTTCTGGTCAAGGGCATGTATCTGGGTTGTAATTTGCTCCCCACCTCCCTTTCCCATCCCCTCAAGGATGAGTGCAGGAGGCAACCAGTGGATTCTCTCTCCCCTCATCCCTCCCTTCCACTCTCACTGAAAAGCAGTGAAAAAAATATCATGAGGATTAACAAAACACGCACACACATTATTTGACCTTATTTATGAGAGTTTATTTCTGGACTCTCTATTCCAGGAGTGGGGGATGTCTGGCCCCAAGCCATATAAGGCGCACAAAATCATTTGGTCTGGACCTGGCAGGGGATTAGGGGTGAATTAATTGCTTGACCAAATATACCAGGCTAATTTTTAAGTTGGTAATTTTGTGTGGCCCGGAAATGATGTTATAAATATCCAAATGACACTTGGCAGAAAAAAAGTTCCTGGCCCCTGCTTTTTCTATTCTATTGATCTAAATGTCTTTATGCCAGTACTAGTTTTGGTTACTGTAGTTTTGTAGTAAGTTTTAAAAACAGGAAGTGTGAATCCTCAGTTGCTTTTTCAAGGTTGTTTTGGATATTCAGTTTCCTGAGATTCCACAATGTTAGGATGGGTTTTCTATTTCTGTAAAAAACGTTATTGGGATTTTGAAAGGAATTGCATTCAATCTGTAGATTGCTTTGGATAGTTTCCTCTTCATCTGCTCTTTCCCTCCTTCTCTGGCAAAGCTCATTTGAACATCTAACAATTGAACCCTTTTTTAATACATACAACTAGAGCTGGGAGAGAACACCCTTCTTCCTTTTAGTATTTCTTTGCTTTTAATCTCACACTTTTGTTTTTCTGGTCTATGCTTTTAATTTTGTTAGACAGGGTCTCCCATAGTGAAAGCTATAGTGTGAATCAATTCCAGGTGTGCAAAAAAATCCATTATTCAAGAAATCTTTCAGTACATTCAGCAAGTGTATTTTAAACATCTACTATATACCAGACATTATTCTTTGTCCTAGGTCATTAGTGAAGCAAAGAAGCTAACACTTTTGCCTTCAATATATAGCTTATGTTCCACTGGAGGGAGACAGACAAGAAATAAACACTGCCCTGACCAGTTTGGCTCAGTGGATAGAGCATTGGCCTGTGGACTGAAGGGTCCTAGGTTCAATTCTGGTCAAGGGCATGTACCTTGGTTGCAGGCACATTCCCAGTAGGGGGTGTGCAGGAGGCAGCTGATGGGTGTTTCTTCTCTCTCATGTTGTTTCTGACTCTCTATACCTCTCCTTTCCTCTCTGTAAAAAATCAATAAAATATATTTTAAAAAAAGAAAAAGAAAAAAATAAACACTGGTAACGCGCCATGAAGAAAAATAAAAGCAGAGGCATACTCTGCTGTTGACTGACACTATACTTTCCATTTGGACTGGTCAGTCACTGATGCCGCCAGCACATTGGTGAAATCGGATATCGCGGGCTAAACAGAAAGGAAGACAAAACAGGCTTGGCGCTTAACGTGTTAAAAATGAAATAGTGCCCTGACCGCTTTGGCTCAGTGGATAGAGCGTCGGCCTGTGGGCTGAGGGGTCCCGGGTTCGATTCCGGTCAGGGGCATGTGCCTTGGTTGCGGGCACATCCCCAGTGGGGGGTGTGCGGGAGGCGGCTGATCGATGTTTCTCTCTCATCGATGTTTCTGGCTCTCTATCCCTCTCCCTTCCTCTCTTTGAGAAATCAAAATATATTTTTTAAAAAATGAAATAGACTTTATAATAAAACCCTAATATGCAAATCGACTGGCAGAATGACCGGTCGCTATGACATGCACTGACCACCAGGGGGCAGACACTCAACACAGGAGCTGTTCCCTGGTGGTCAATGTGCTCCCACAGGGGGAGCGCTGCTCAGCCAGAAGCCGGGTTTTCGGCTGGCGAGTGCGTGAGATTCTCTCCTGCCTCCGAAGCAGCACTAAGGAACAGCAAACCTGGATTCTGGCTGAGCGCAGTGCTAGTGGCAGGAGCCTCTCCTGCCTCCGTGGCAGGCGGACATCCCCCGAGGAGTCCCAAA